ACAAACAGAAAAAGCGGGGGAGGTAAGAGACAGAAGGATCTCTGGGGCTGCCTGACCATCCATTTTAGCCTAATTGGTGAGCTCCAGGCTAATGAGAAACCACCTCAAAGGAGGTGGACAGTGTCCTTGAGGATAACATCCAAGGTTGTTCTCTGGCCTCCACAGGACATACACACACAGTACATGTACTGCGTACACACACATCTTAAAAGAAGAAAGAAAAACCAACCCAGAACAACTAGGAGCCACATATTTTGTTTCCAAAAAAAAATTTTTTTTTTGAGATGGGGTCTCCTTGTAGCCACTGCTGGCCTGGAACTCATTATGTAAAACAGGCTGATCTCAAACTCACAGAGATTCACCTGCCTCTGCCTCCCAAGTGCTGGGATTAAAGGCATGTGCCACCACGCCCAGCCAAGAGTGTTAAACATCTTCATTATAAATCAAATGATCACTGTGCCTGAAGTCAATTACAAGTGACACTTTTTCTTTTTTTCTTGAGACAGGGTCTCCCTGTAGATCAGGCTGGCCTTGAGCTCAGAGATCTGCCTGCTTCTGCTTCCCAAGTGCTGGGATTAAAGGTGTGTGCCACCAGGCCCAGCAAAATTTTCCTTTTTTAATGAAATAATCCAAGTATATAAAAATAGATCACTGTGGATGATACTACTTCCTATAATCAGAATCAAAACAGATAAGGTAGGATGACCATGTGGTCATATATTCCAGTCTCAGAATATTAGGGAAGTACTATGGAGGGGCTGGTTTACCACTAACATTGAGACTGGGCTAGCCCATCAGACATATGGTTGATGGATGAACTAAATACTTAATTCCTCACAGTGACCAAAACACTTCAGATCCCTGTTTTACTTAAAAAAAGAAAATACTTATTAATATTCTACCCACCAAAAGGCTGTAACCCTCCTCTATCTTTCAATATTAATAATTTAAAAAGTATACAGACTGTTTTTATAATAACAAAAAATTGTATTTTTTGACAGGGTCTTGCTTGCATCTCAGGCTGGGCTCAAACTTGTAATATTCCTGTCTCAAACTCCTGAATGCAGGAATTATGAATGTATGCCACTATACTAGTCTTAAAGAGGTTTTTTTTTTTTTTTGGTCTTTTCGAGACAGAGCTCCAGCTGTCCTGGAACTCACTATGTAGACCAGGCTGGCCTTGAACTCACAGTGCTGGGATTAAAGGCGTGTGCCACCACACCCGGCTAGGAGTTATTTAAAATAATTTTTGTTCTATGTGTATTAGTGTTTTGCCTGCATGTATGTAATGCACTGTGTGTGTGTAATGCCTACAAAGGCCAGAAGAGGGTGTTGGATCCCTGAAACTGGAGTTACAGATGGTTTGCTAGTCACCATGTAGGTTAGGTACTGGGAATTGAACCCAGATACTTTGGAAGAACAGCAAGTGTTCTTAACTGCTGTGCCACCTCTCTAGCTCTGTAAGGAGTTTTTCTTTTTTAGGAGTTATTTTTAATTAATATGATACGATCTTCAGAATGAAGACACCTGCTATCCTGAAAATTTCAATCTACAGATTGTTATTATTACTATGGATATGTTAAAGGTGAAAATAGAGAATCCTGCAAAAGGAGATGAATTTAAAAAAAATTATTTATTTTATGTGTATGCATGTATTGCCTGCACATAGGTAAGTGCACCCATGTTGTGTAACGCCCTCAGAGGTCTGAAGAGTCTATCGGATCCCCTGGGACTGGAGTTATGGACAGTTGTTAGCTGCCATGTGGGTCCTGGGATTTGAACCCAGGTCTTCTGCAAGAACAAACAGTGTTCTTAACCACTGAGCCATCACTCCAGCCCCTAATTTTTTTTTTTATATTTATGTGTATGTGTGTGCAGGCATGTGAGTATGTGAGTGTATATGCTTGTGTGAGTGTATATACACGTGTGTTCATGGAAGGATTTTCACGTTTTTTTTTCCGTTTTCTTGCTTTGTTTCAGGGATTATAATCTTATTTCATATTTTGTCAAAGTTACTTAACACATTAACAAAGAATACAATCCTAGTAATGGAGAAAATTCAACATTCATTTATAATAAAAACTCAGCAAAACAGGAATACTTTGCTATTACAATGCATTGAACATCTCAAGAGGAATACAGGGATACAGGAAGTGTATCTGGATTAATTTTAACTTCATATTGTAAATCTAGAATAACCAGTAAAAAGTTTGCAAAGGAAGCATAACTGATAGGGAGAAAGGAGAAAAATGATCTACATAGAACATTCAGTTAATACAAATGAGGCAAAAAAAATTGTGGTGGAGAAACATACCACAGGAGCAACAAACAGTAAATAGTGCCATGAAGGACAGATAATCCTCTGAAAAGTAGCAAGAAATACCTTATAACGTTTCATCTATTTTTGAGATGGGTCTCATGTAGCCCAGGCGGGACTTGAACTATGCAGTGAGGATGACCCTGAACACCTGATCCTTCTGCCTCTACCTCAGTTTGTAGGGTGCTTCAGTTAGTAGAGGGCTGGGATTACAGGCCTCACAGCCTGTTTCTGTGATGCTGGCGCCCAAACCCATGCTAGGCAAGCACTTTACTAATTGAGCTACAACTCCATCCTAGATTTTTTTGCCCACCCCCATCTTTTTGTTGTTATTTTGTCTCTAAATCCCCAAGCCCTCTACCCTAGATTTTCAAGTTTTCGTGATTATGTCATTTGTACACATACTGGATATACAGTTAAGAATCTGTGATTTAAAAAAAAAAAAAATTGCCAGATATGGTGGCACGAGTCTTTGATCCCAGCACTTGGGAGGCAGAGGCAGGTGGATCTCTGTGAGTTTGAGGCCAGCCTAGTCTACATAGGAAGTTCCAGTCCAGCTGGGGCTACAGGGAGACCGTGTCTCAAAAAAGACCCAAATAATAATAATAATAATAAAATAAAAAAATAAATAAGCAAAAAGAAAACAATTGGGGGAAGGGTTGGAGATAAACTCATCAGTTAAGACTACTTACTGCTCTTACAGAAAACCTAGGTTTGGTTTTCAGCACCCACAAACTAGCTAACAACCAACCCTAACTCCAGTTCTAGGGGATCTGATGCCCTCTACTGGTCTCTGTACCAATTGTTTGGCTTGGTAGTTAGCTCTTACAAGGACTAAGGAAAATTTTGATTTCTCAAGAATGTCAGAACTCTCTGTTAGATACTAAGTTATTACTTCAAGTTTAATTTCTAGTCATTGGAAACTGTTTCATCTCTTTGTAATTATGGGAACAGGGTTCAAAGTAAAAAAACCACAAATCTCTATCAGGAGATTCTTGTCCAAATGAGACATCTACAAATAAATAGTAATAAACACAAAGAGGAAAAGATGATTACTTGAACTGCATCATGACTTATAAGATACTAAGTTATTACTTCAAGTTTAATTTCTAGTCATTGGAAACTGTTTCATCTCTTTGTAATTATGGGAACAGGGTTCAAAGTAAAAAAACCACAAATCTCTATCAGGAGATTCTTGTCCAAATGAGACATCTACAAATAAATAGTAATAAACACAAAGAGGAAAAGATGATTACTTGAACTGCATCATGACTTATAATGAACATGCCTCTGGTTTAGGACTCCATATACCAGACTGCCTGCTTGTCTTCAATTTATGTATTTTGGAATGTCAAAGCCTGTAAGGAAGTTTGTTCTCATTCTTCCACCTATCCTTGAAACAGTTTTCTCTTTTATCCTGGGACCCTTAGCTAGCCTCTTTAGTGATCCATTTTCAGATGTCTTGGCTATTAACAGATGATCCTTGTAATAATAGTAAAGTATCTGAAGTTTTCTACTTTTTAACTTTTCCAACAGAGATGGTAAGGGAATATTAGGTCCTTTTCCCAGTGTCAGAGCACTGAAGTATGATGGGCCAAACCCTACCGACATGCTTTTATTCTTGATGACTGGTATAGATACATGACCCAATAAAAATGAACATGTATATCTACATTCCACTACTGTTATCAGGATGCTAACTGAAATAGGAAGCACTGGGCCTCTGATACATCAATAACTCACTGAATTAACCAACTGCTCTATTTTTGAACACTGCTACTGGGTGTTTTATTGGCAGTTGAGACCATCCTATCTCAGTGTGCCAAATCTCACCACTTGCCAATTTTCATAATACTGTTTTAATAACCATGCAACCATTCACTGATATTAGCATAAGTATGATGGGATTTAGTCAGAATTTTCAAGGCACTAATCGTGCTGGTCTTTTTGTGTTCTCCACCCCCCCAACACCATCATAAACTGAAAATTCCTTTCACTTATATCATCTTATAATTTTTGAAATTACCCTCTAAATTATCAAAGAGAAGCATTATGGGTTCTTTGTAATTGAGGAAAACAAAGTTAGAAACTGGCCAAGTGCTGGGCCTAGTGGCCAGCTACTCAAGATACTGAGGCAAGAGGATCGTAAGTTTAAGGCCTGTCAGAGCTACAAAGTGAGTTCATGGTAATCCCGGGCCAGCCTCTATCTCAAAAAAGTTTAAAAATAAATAAATAAAAAGGCAGGGGGACTGGGTATAGCTCGGTGGTAGAATGTTTGCCTAGCATGTGTGAGGCCTTAGGTTCATCCCAGCACCACAAAGAAAAAAATTCACATGATCATCCGAGCAATTAGTGAGAGGAGTTCTGGAAGGAGCTCAGTTTTCTCATTTCGAATCTACAATACGCACACAGTGTCCGTTACAAGAGACGTTTGCCACCGGGATGCTAGGAGGCGACCAACGCCCAGCCTTGGCTCCCAATCACTGGGTTGGGCTGCACCTGCAGGGTACAAAGCCTCACGCCTCTAGAAACCTCTGGGTCTGACACGAGGATCCAAGCCAACCCCGTCAGGACTGGCGCTTGCGAAGACCAGCCTTTTATGGTCCATGCCCCACAATCCGTCTAAGACCCAAGGCGCAGGCCCCGGCTAGGCCGAGGACTCCAGCTCTCTCGTTCTCCTCACCCCAGCCGGCCACAGGGTCCGGGCGTTCACACATTCCGTTACCGGCTCTCTTCTGAGTCCGGACTCTTCCTGCTTTCCTTTTCCGAATCACCAGGTCTCTCATGGGCCATCTTACTATCCACTGAGCGAGTCAACAGGCCAAGAACTCACTGTGGAGACCCAGCCAGCGGAACCGGAAATAGTAGCGGATAGAAGCAAGGGAAAAACTACGTCTTTCAGTTGCTGGGTGAGATGTTGGTCCCCAGGAAGCTGCTCAATTGGTCCACTGGGGAGAGACCACAGCTTAGGAGCACACTGACCAATCAGGGCTCAGGATGGATGGCGGAGCCCGGGGCGCGTCGCTTCCGGCGGTTGCGGGGAGCTTGGGAGCGTGGGAGTTTTGCTGTGGCCTCCGCCTCCTTTGTCGCGTCTCGGCTGGGCGTGGCTTCGAGTGGCTTCTGCCAGGTAGGGTAGGGCGAGGCTCTCAATGCTCCAAGGGGTGGTGAGAGGGTCCGCTTCGAGGCTGTCGCCCAGAGATCGGCCGCCACCTCAGGTCCTCAGAGGGGCTGGAGGGAATCGAGTGAAGTGAAGCCGAGGACGAGGTAGACCCCGGCAGCTGGAGCGGAGACTCTAAGGACGGTTCTCTCCATTCGCAGTGTTCTCCCAGCGTGGTGACTTGGAGACGCCCCTCAACTGCCCCAGATGGCGTCCACCCTCCCGACATCCGACGCCCAGGTGAGCTCTGTCCGCTGTTTCCCTGGTTTGTGTCTGACCTCCTCGGACAGGACGGACTCGACACCTCTCCGTCTGATGGGTGTGCCTCTTCAGACAGCCCTTTCACCTAGCTGTCTTCGTTCCTAGAGCACGGCTTACCAACTTCCTCTTCTCAGTGTCCAGCTGGGGCGCTGAGTCCTGGCTGGGGAGTCTGTAACCAAGTTTCTCAAAGTGTCTTGGCTGGAAAACGTTTCTCAAAATGGCAGATTTCTAGGCTTCACACCTGTTGAATAATAACAATAAAGCCCAGGTGATTTTTCATCATGCCAAAGTTGTTGATTTACAGAAACAGTAAACTTAGGAAAGACCTAGATCTTGTGTTGGATGGAGTGATGAAAGGAAGAAAGAAGGACTAGTAAAGGATGGTAGTTTTCTCTCATGATTTTTACTGGGCTAGCTGGCCCCTCCCCCCTTTTATTTCGTTTCCGTTTGTTTCCTCTTAGAGCATCCTTAATGATTCTCTACCCAAGAATTTTTCCTTCAACTTTTCAGGAATGACTGCATCATTCTCATTGTGTACTGTCTTGATCCTCATACCACTCTTTAAAAGTTTATGTTTATGCCTTCCTTCCTCATCCCACCCGGCCTATAGAACCCCCAACACTGAGGAATGTTTTACACCAAGCCCTTTCTACTGGTATGTGATGTTTTTAGCTCTTTTCCAGCATTCCTAGACTGAGTGAAGAGCTGGCTTGCTACCCTTCTGTGCTAATGGGGCTATCACATTGTTTCAGGAATCACTGCTGCTTGAAGATCTGGACGTGTATTTTTCTCAAGAGGAATGTGTGAGTCTGGATCCTGCTGAGAAGACCATGGGCAGAGAAGCCACGCTGGAGTGTTCCAAGGATTTGGACTTGATTGGTAAGGCAATTGTTTGACCTGCATTTTGGAGCTTTAATCAATTCAAGATGAGGATTTCATGTCTTGGCCATATGATATGGTGGAGTGGGACCTGTTTGTGATTTATATGGCTCTAGCAAGAACTTGCATGAGAGAACAAGTTCAAAATCTGAGGTGATTTTGTTTTTTCATGTGTGTGTGGTGTGTGTGTGAGCAAGTGTGGAGGCCAGAGGTTGATAATGGGTTATCTTCTTTGATCCCTTTCCACTCTTCTTAAGTCTAGCTAACCAGTTTGCCCTGGGAATCTCCTGAGGGCTGGGGTTGGAGATGGGTCACCACACTCAGTTTTTACTGGGTGCTGGGGAACCAAACTCCTGTCCTTTAGTTTGCTGGGCAATCATTTTATCCACTACGCCATCTCTTCTGCCCTGAGATAATTTCTTAAGACAGAAATCCGGTCTACAAAGATGACTGTGGTTTCACGTAATACGTAACAATATCTGGTAATCTCTTAAATAGCTGTTGCACTCAAATTACAGTTTTACTTGAGAAACCTCATTAATATAGATTACTGTCACTTGCTAAAGTTTGGAAATTGCTTTTCTATTATGGAGGATATTCTGCCTTTCTCACCTAAGAGGAACTGCATCCCTAATCCCTATGCCTGAGTAGACTTTCTCTTGTCTGGGTTTGGATACCTAAACTATTTTTTTTTCTTGTCCTCCTCTTTTTCCTCCTCTTCCTTTATTTGAGACAGGGTCTTCCTATAGCCCTGTTGTGTTGACCAGGCTGGCCTCAATCTCGCAGAGATTTTGTGTCTCCTGAGTGCTAGGATTAAAGGTGTGTGCCACTACACCAGGTTCCTAAACTATTTTTCATAATTTATGGTTTATATTTTCTACTTATGTTCATATTTTCCTCTACCTTCTTGAACATACCAAGTATATTTATAATATGTCTTTTAATACTTCCTCTGCTAATTTTAAGCATCTTTGTCATTTCTGGGTCTGTTTCTATTGATTGATTTTTCTCCTTGTTATGAATTATATTTCCCTACTCGTTACGTGTTTGATAAATTTTGATTGAATTTAGACACTGTGAAGTCTCTCTCTCTCTCTCTCTCTATATATATATATATAATTTGTGGATTTTTAAAAAAAACATTTTTGGGGGGCTGGAGAGATGGCTCAGCAGTTAAGAACACTGGTTGTTCTTGCAGAAGACCTGGGTTCGAATCCCAGCACCCACATGGCAGCTAACAACTGTCTGTAACTCCAGTCCCAGGGGATCCAACAGCCTCTTCTGACCTCTGAGGGCATTGCACAACACGGGTGCATTTAACCTACATGCAGGCAATACATGCATACACATAAAATTTTTAAAAAATTTGGGGGGCTGGAGAGATGGCTCAGCAGTTAAGAACACTGACTGTTCTTGCAGAAGACCCAAGTTTGAATCCCAGCACCCAGATGGCAGCTAACAAGTGTCTGTAACTCCAGCTCCAGGGGATCCAACAGCCTCTTCTGTCCTCTGCGGGCACTGCACAACACAGGTGCACTTACCTACATGCAGGCAATATATGCATACACATAAAATAAAAATAATAAATACAATATTTTAGGGCAGAAGCAGGTTAAATAAAATATTTTAAAAAACATTTTTGGCTGGGCTTGGTGGCACACGCCTTTAATCCCAGCACTCGGGAGGCAGAGGCAGGCGGATCTCTGTGAGTTCGAGGCCAGTCTGGTCTCCATAGTGAATCCAGGGACAGCTGGGGCTACAGGGAGACCCTGTCTCAAAAAGACCAAAAAAAATTTTTTTTTGGATTTGTTGTAAGATGCAGTTAGGTTACTTGGGATCAATTTGATGCTTTCATGGTTTTTTGCTTGTTTGTTTCTTTGTTAGTTCACAGCTGATTTGGCCTACTACAAAGGCAGTATTTTTCTGTTTGATGTCCTGGTATTGGAGGGTCTTTCCACTTTGGCCAGTGGGAACTCTGGATTTTGTTTTTTTTTAATATCAGTTTTTAGTAGGTCTTTCCATAGCATTAGGGTAGTTTCCTCTTATGCATGCAGATTAGTTTTCAACAAGTCGTTTTTTTAAAAGACTTTTTTCCATTCTGGTTTTTATTTTATTTTTAATTTATGTGCATGTTTATGTGCCTGCTTGTCTGTACGTGCACATTTGTGCACCATGTGCATGCAGGTCCCCACAGAGGCCAGATGGTATCAGATCTTCTGGAACTGGAGTTATGGACGGTTGTGAGACAGATGAGTGCTGGGAACTGATCCCACAGAGGCCAGATGGTATCAGATCTTCTGGAACTGGAGTTATGGACGGTTGTGAGACAGATGAGTGCTGGGAACTGATCCCAGGTCCTCTGCAACTGCTAAGCTGTCTTTCCAGCCCCTCTCAACAAGTCTTCCAGGGATCTCATATAGATGTCCTAAGTCTCTTTTGGGGGAGCTGCTGCTGCTGCTTTATTATTTTTTGTTCTCAAATCCTAGCAGTTTTAGAATCCCTAATCATTGAATTCAGTCTACTAAGATCAGAAAAACTACTGGATACTATTTTGGATACCCATGAGTGATTTTGTAGCCTGGAAATACAAGCCAGTGAGTTGGGACAGCCTTAGGACTTTCATTTCTTTGGAAGGAAGGATCTCTGTTATATTACTATACTAATTTTACAAATGATGAGTATGGTTATCTGTAGGAGATGTAGGACACTGTCTAAGAATATGAAAATTTGAAGATACTCGAGTATCTTAATACTTGAAGATACTCAAGTCCCTTTATATGAAGTGGCATGATATATTTGCATATGGTCTGTGTGCATATACTTTAAATTGCATCTAGATTATCTATAATACGCAATACAATGCAATACAATACAATACAGGTATTTGTTATACTATGCTGTTAAGAGACTAATGACAGGAAAGAAACATACAGGTTCAATACAGAAAGGATTTTTAAAAATGACTTCAACTTGAATTAGTTGAATCTGCAGCTGTACAACCTATGGATATGTAGAGAGAGCTATATTTAGAAAAAGATTTCAAAGAAATTCTTTTAGCCAGGCCCAGGTTTTGTCACTCATCCTTGAGATAAGATTGGTCAATATTTGCCTACAGTACACACAGCAACTCTACCTTGGTCATTCAGTGAAGGATGAAATTTTAGAGACCTCCTATGGATAACAGAACTACTTTCAGTGACTTGTATGTTTCTTTATTAAGCTAGAAAAATAATTTCCCTTTTTTCTTTTTTTGATAAATATATGTCTAAATCTTTGTGCCAGTTTTGACTCTTCAACTGTTACTTGGGATGGCTTAAATACTGAAAAGTTCTTGAGATCTAAACAGATGAAGCAGAAAACTACATTTCTAGGCGATGCCTACCAAGATTGTCCTTCGTATTTATCCACTGAATCCTGATTCAAGTCATTCTCCACCCTTTCCCCTTGCAGATTCACCTGGAACCTTGTAGTCCACCTCCATGGACAGATTATTAATTTGGGGGAAGTCAAGAGAGCCTACTGGCTCCTGTTTTTGTATATATCTTAGTGTCTACCTTAACTTGTTCCTTCTCTAGTATCACTTAAAAGTAGTGTCTATGTTTTGCTTTTGTTTTTATCAACAGGAGGGGAAGAAAAGACTGAGATTAATCACCAGCTAAGCCTAGAGTCTCTGGAACTTGAAGAGCTTTCCCTAGAAAAGTACTCCATTGATGGACCCTTTGTCCATTACCCCAAAAAATCTGAGGATGATGTTGAAATACCTGAAAGGAAAATATCAGGTGGTACTTTGACTTGCAAGAAAAAACTTATAAGCCTCTTAGTTACTATTGAAAACCAAACCCCATTAGTGGAACTATCTCAATGTTTAGGAGTCAGAACACTTTCTGACATTCTTGAAGTTCCCTGGGAAGAAACCAAAAATCTGTACAACTGTCCTGACTGTGACGAAAGCTTCAGTGATAATACATACCTTGTTTTGCATCAGAAAATTCATTCAAGAGAGAAAAAGTATGTATGTAGTGACTGTGGGAAGACCTTCAGTCATAGAACCAATCTGAGGACACATAGGAGAATCCATACTGATGAGAAGCCTTACCAGCGTACCAAGTATGCTGTCAGCTTCTGCCAGCAGTCACACCTGTCCCAACATATGAATAGCCATATGTATATGGAGAAACCATATACATGTAGCATATGCGGGAGAAATTTTAGGTGGCTCCCAGGATTGGCAGAGCATCAAAAGAGTCATGTTGCTAAATCATATGAATGTGCTAATGGCCAAGATCGATATTGTCAGGAAACAAATCTGGCTTTGCCTGTGAAGACAGACACATCCAACACTCCAGCCCAGTACACTGAGTGTGTGAAGAGCCTTGAGCAGCCTTCATACCCTGCTCTCCCTGAAAAGAGTCATAAGGAGGACTCTAAGCATTGCAGTATTGATGATGATTTCTTTTCATTCTCCAGATTTAAACCGTTACAGTGTCTTGACTGTGACATGACCTTTCCTTGTTTCTCTGAGCTTGTTTCTCATCAAACCATTCATGACATGGAAAAACCCCATAAATGTAAAACCTGTGCAAAAACTTTTGCTTCGGATTGGGAACTTGCATGCCACCAGAAGAGCCACACAAAAGAAGAACCTTTTAAATGTACTGTGTGTGGGAAGCGCTTTAGAGTGAATACATATCTCATTGCTCATAAGCAAACCCACAGGAGAAACACCAAGTAAACACAAGTTTTTGCTAATGCTTGGACTTTTCGGTATCTGTATGGTAGAAAACATGTATTGTTTTTGTGCCGGGCACTGTGCTAAGTAAGCACTTTATATACATTCCATGTTAATAGTTTTCACCAGGACCCTGAGTTAGGCAGTATTATTTCTTATTTCTGATTTAGAACTAAGGAAGTATAATGTTAAATTAGCTAGTAGGTGAAGCCAGGAGTTGAACTCAGTTACTGATCAAATTCATTTATATGAGCCAGAGAGACATGAAACTTTAAAATCCAGTTTTCATTGAAATGAAGGCTATTGCCAGAAATTTTTTTAAAAAATGGTTCCTAAGAATGTTTTAGAAGGAGAGTTTATTTTTTGCCAGTTCTATACATGTACCTAAGAACATGAATGTTTTTATATCTGTTTTATACTTTTCATGTTATAAATGTTCATATGAGATATTTGTCTTAAATGTGAATATATAGAGACGTTTAGAACTCTATATAAAATTTCTACACAGGCCAACTTTTTTTTTTCAGAAAGGGGGGTGATCTTACTATGTAGCCCAGGATGGCCTCAAAAATCACCATTTTCCTGCATCCACCTCCCCCAAGTGCTAGGATTACTGATGTGAACAATCATATTCAGCTACTTGATATCTTAATTACAATTAGTATTTATGGAGTTCCCATTTTCAGATCTGATGGCAGAGGCAGGTCTTGGCATCTGTGATTAAATGTTTTAATAGTCTAATTACAGCTCCTTTCTAGAGGTTAGACTTAACTTGTATTTGTTCCTCTCTAAGGGGATTTGCCTCCAGATCTCTACTGAAGCACATTCCAGGTTTGTTATGAATACTTAAAAAAACTTATTTTAGTGAGTATCCTGATACTTCAGGTATACTCTTGTGTTTATTCTTCAGAATAAATCTATGACAGAGAAAGGACTATCCATGTTTCTTAAAGAAACTGAAGCTCTCAGAGGGTAAAGTCAATCCTTTGCCAAGCACACAAAATATCACATTGTGGATTTAAATTTAGAGGTCTTGTTATTCTGAAGGCTACACATTTTTGTGACACTGCACTATCTCTTGGCTTTTGTACCATATATTACTACTGCTAGGAGTAGTAATAGGAGAAGGAGGTTGAACAAGGAAGGGGAAGGTGGTCATCAAGGAGGCTACCCTGGGACTTGGAACCTGAAACCCTTTATGCTCTTCAGTTTATCCAATGCTTTGTTCCATGTATCTTTAAAAAGCAACAGAAGACTTTCTGGTTTGAATTCCCATTATTATAATCAGATCAGAGAGTTCAAGTTCCACAGAGCACATTCTGAAGGTGTTAAATGGGTTTTTGTTTTTTTCTTTTCAATTGTAACATTTCCATCCTCTAAGGAAAATACATGCAGAAAATTGTTGAGTTTATAACCACAATAATTAATCACATATGTCTTTAGGTACTAGTATTGCAGATAGACATTGGAATAAAATAGTCATATACTGTGGTTATTAATGTTAAAGAACCAGTGAATTATAAATAAAGAAAATACGGAAGGAGGTGAGAATTTATGCCACAGGTCCTTCTGTATACCTTATAACACGGAACTTCACAGGTTACCGCTCAGTTTTTGCAATTTTCTGTATTCTGTAGACTTTGAAAGATTAACCATAAAAGATTAGAAAAAGAGCACTTTAAAAAAATCATTAATATATATATGAGTAATTAAATGGCTTTGGTATAATGTTGGTGACTGAAAAAAGTAAAAAAAAAAGAATGTTAGCTACTATGAAATAGACATATTTTCAGTTGTTGCCTTACTGTGCACTTGTTCCTTAAAACATTAGTTAGGTGTTATTCTCAAGCTGCTTTGCCCCTAGGTAGTTGAAGGAAGCTTTGCCTGCCAGTGGTATTCAGGCTGTTTTTATGATGATGGCCTTCTAACTGTGCTGTCAGCTAGTGTAGATTCCATAAGATGGTTATTAACTCAGCAATATTAGCCAGTCATGTTAGGCGCTGTTAACAAATACTGGATGAAGTCAATACAGGGATTAGAAAAACACCTAAATGTAAGAGTTTATTTATATGAATGGTTGGCTAACTCCATGTTGCAGAATAGGTGCTGACATACTATGAAGAGTAGAAACTTGGGGTTGAAAAAATGTACTCAAACCTCATGGGTTTTGTTGTTGATACATTGATGAAAATGTGAAGCAAACCAGTAACATGACCTCTGAGATAGACAATTCAGTTAAACTGTTATTATTGGCTGGGGGTGGTGGTGCACGCCTTTAATCCCAGCACTTGGGAGGCAGAGGCAGGTGGATCTCTCTGAGTTCAAGTCCAGCCTGGTCTACATAGTGAGTTCTGGGACAGCTGGGGCTACAGGGAGACCCTGTCTCAAAAAGATAAAAACAAAACAAAACAAAACAAAAAACGATAAAACCTATCATCATTGATGAAAACAGCATTTCACAATGGAATTCAGATGCTAATATTTGCACTTTGTAATTTTAGATTTTGTTGTTGAAGGAATTAAATTCAAAATAGTTTTGTCTAGAGTTGTGTTGTTATAAATAATAGTATATTCATATATCCCCATCTAACACTGGAGATGGCTAGCCCAGTAATTCAGGGAGTTAAAACAAATGACATTGCCCAGGAAATGTCATGTTTTCCCTCTTACTCCTAAAGTTCCATACGGTTAAGTAGCAGTGTTCTGGTGACTGTAATGTAAGATGTCAAACAATCTGAAAATGCAGATTTTGCTTAAAATCTAATTTATTGTCTATGTGTTCAAGGGGAGATATAGGTTATAGTTTTATCTGAATAAAGAACCTATTTTGAATGTTTGTTAAGCTCTGTTATCCCATGGGATCTCAGTAGGAAAGTACTTTTGCTTTGTTTAAAAAAGTAAATGATGTTTATTAAATATGCACTTTTATGTTTTTGTCTTATATATTAAGAGATCTATTACTATAATATAAAAATGGCTATTACCCATCTTCCCAAGACCTGTCTGGCTACAGGTGTTTTGTCTCTTTCAACTGAGATCCCTCTCTTCATGATCAGTCTAAGGAAAGGGGATATAAACCTAAGAATGTTCTTCAGTGTCTAGTTATTTTGATGCCTAAGAAGTATGTTTTCGGTATGCACGTTTGTTTTAATGTTTCAACTGTACTGTTTTTGATGTAGTCCCATTATCTTAGCTCTAGATTGCAATCTCTCAATGGTTTTAATTATGTCTAGCTGATGTGCAAATAAATGCTATTTTACGATGATGGCAAAGCAGTGAACTTTTTAAAATATAGAATCCAATGGTGGCAATAAGGCAGATTGGAAACAACTGGTTAGCTTGTGGTTTAGAGAGTGAATTAATGACTTCATCCCATTTGGTAAAAGAAATAACATGCCTTGCTCCCTGAAATTTGGCATAAATTTCTAGCATTATTCCAAGATCACTCTAGATGTCTACCTACCTTTCAGCCTTAGCTGCAGAGTAGCAGTACAGGGCCAGATACCGCCAGCTCCACTGGGCAGCGACTGTCCGACAGACAAGTCCGGCCTGGAAGCAGTGTGGTGAGTGGTTCTGCCTTTTGGCTTCCGGGTGGCCCCGGAGCAATCGCAGGTCTCTCATGCAGCCACTACTGAAAGGACTGGAGTTAATGCCCACCAGATGCCATTTGCCACGGCAGCTAAGCAGGAAGGCGGAAGATGAGGCCACTTCCGTTGTCCGCATCCAGCTGCGCCTGCGCACTCCTCTGGTAATTGGGGATGGACATCTAGCCGTGGGGTTCGGTAAGGCGGGGTCTGTCCCAGGTCCATTTCGCACCTCTAAGGCCCCATAGAACCGGGCTATGGGCAGAGGGGATGTGTCAGTCTTAGGATTGACCCTTAGCATGCCTGCACAAGAGTGCGGCAAGCCTGGAGACCTCCCTAGTTTCCATCCCCTGATTGTAAGCGCTGAGCATGCTGGACCAGAGGAGGCCGCGCTATCTTCTATCCCTGACCTCTCACAGTCTGAGGCCCCGGGGTTGCCCCAAGTGTAGAACGGGATACTTTATGCTTTTCAGTTGCACTGGTAGAGCGTCTTCTCTGAACCTGCGCCAGCAACAGGCTTTTGCTGTGCTCTGCTGCTTGATCTATTAATACATCGATCGATTTTTTAGAATGTCTTAATATGTTGTCCAGACTAACCTTGATCTGGGCTCAAGCAGCCCTGATTCTCCCGTATCAACTTCCGGAGTAGCTGAAACTTGAAAAATACCTTACAGCCATATTCTAATGTAGTTCTGGTTAGTCTGGGTGTATTCTTGGCTCATCTGGCGTAAATCATTTCCCTTGAATAATTTTAGCTACTTTTATGGCTACGCAGACATCATTTGTTGTCAGCCCAGTTTTCTCCTCTCTGGTGCACGAGATTCCTGTTTTCAAATGCCTAAGAGATCCTCCTTTGACTATTTCTGAGAAATCTAATTACGAGTCCAAAACATAGCTCATGCTGTTTGCCTTGAGTATATGGCACTCCATCTACACAATTGCACCTACTATAAACACTTGCTCCTCCTATATTGTTCAGATGTTTTGTCTCCCAAAATTCAAATGCTGGAACCATAACTCCCAAGGGGATAGTATTAGGAGGTGGGGATCTTTGGGAAGTGTTTAGATCGTGAACATGGAACCCTTATTTTGTGCCCTTATAAAAGAAACTGTAGAGAGCTAGCAACTCCATCCATGTGAGGACCCATCAAGAAGGCACTTTCTAGTTGGCGGAGGAGGTGCACGCCTTTAATTCCAGCATTTGGGAGGCAGAGGCAGGCAGGTATCTTTGAGATGAAGGCTGGGGTTACAGGGAAACCCTGTCTCAAAAAACAACAAAAAAAGGACACTTTCTATAAACTGGCCCTTCCTTACCAGAAATGGAATCTGCCAGCACCCTGGTCTTGACTTCCTGACCTCTGGAACCAGGAGAAATAAATTTCTGTTGTTTGTAAGTGACCCCATTCATAGTCATGTGTAATAGAACAGACTAAGCAGCTTCCTCACCCAGTCATGAAGATACCTGCTGGGGATTGTAACTCAGTGATAAATAAGAGTTTGATCCCCAGAATCCACATATATTTGGAAGGAAAGAACCAATTCAGCAATGCTGTCCTCTTACCTCCATACATGTTCTGTGATGTATATGAGAACACATTTTTACTTTAAAGTAACAATGTTACTTTAAGTTATATGTATGTGTGTAGGTATGTGCACATGGGTGCAGGTGCCCATGGAGGACAGAGGCATTAGATCCCCTGAAGCTGGGGTTGCAGTTTGTTATGAGCTGCCCAACGTGGGTGCTAAGAACAGACCTTAGGTCCTCTGGAAAAGCAGTATATGCTCCTAACCACTAAGCCATCTCTCCAGCTCCCACAATACATCTTTAAAAATAAAAAAAATATATCAAAATGACACAGGTAGAAGCAGGAAGATCAGAGGCTAAGGTTATCCTCAGCTACATAGTGAGTTTTGCCATTGTGTTGTCAAAAAGTTGAAAGATGAACAGGCGCCAGTCTGCCCCTTCTGGAGGCATACTTCAGGACAAATCTAGGTCCTCAGCATAGACATACCTGCTGCCACACACAGACACTCATACCTCCCAATCATACACAGTAAAGCTGTATTATAATTTTCATCTTTGGATATTCTCTACCTCCCTGAGTTGGAGGTGCCATAATCCTGGCCTTGGTACTGGGTCACTTGGCTATGGGGCCTATGGTAGAGACTTAACTGTGAAGCTGTTTCCTGTTTTGTTTTTTTTAAGAGTTCACATAATAAAATTCACCCCTTTAAAGTACACAACTGTCTTTTTTTTTGGATATATTTGAGGAACCATCAATCCAGTAAGAAAACCCATGCCTATTAGCAATCACCCCTCATTTCTCCCTCTTCACAGCCTTTAAGCAACCACTAATCTATGTTTTGTCTTTAGAATCTGCCTATTCAGACATTTCACATCCATGAAATCATGCAGTGTGAGCTTTGCCACCTGTTTCTTTCACTAGGCCAGGTTCATACATGATGTAGTTTATCAGTGCTTCCTTTCTTCTTAAGGTTGAGTAATATTCTGCTATTTGGACTAAGCACATTTTGTCTATTAATTCTGTCTACCATGTTCTTTCTGTATATCCTGTAAATCTTTTTATGTGCTCTTGATCCATCTTGGAAGAGTCCAGCTACAGGTGGTAGTCTTCAGTACAGCCATAAGTCAAGAAAGCCACTTAGACTTCTGTTCCTCAGCTACCCCTAAACTGGGAATACCTCAGCTCCACTGACATGCTTCTCAAACACTAATATCTCCTATGTCTCAGAATTTCAGCAGTTTCAGTAAGAGGCAGAACCCAATACTTTTGATGCCTAAATTCACAGAACAGTGATTTAAAGATTGAACCAGGCACAGCAGCACAGACCTATAATCCCAGCACTTAGAGGATAGAGGCAAGAGACTCAGAAATTCAAGACCATCCTAGGCCACATAGTTCGAAGACAGCCTGGGCTACATGAGACCTTGTCTCAAAAACCCAAGAAAAAATAATAAAAATATACCCAGTGCCAAGGGTGTTGACCCAGAGGACTCAGGAGGCCAAGGCTTTAAGACTGCTTGAGTTCAGGAGTTTGAGGCCAGCCTGGGCAGTACAGTGAGACTTTATCTCAAAAACATCATACCAGATCAACCAAGCAAGCAAGCAAAGATATGGTTAGTAAATCAACCAAAGAAATAAAAACCCCAACTAGACATCAGACCCACTCCTAATTGTAGGGGTGTTGACTAATTGTGGTCTAAAGTATTATTTGAATTCTGTTCATGGTTTTCTTTTCCCTAAAATAATAAGAAAATAATCTCCAGGGTTGCTGTAAGAATTAATGAGTTAAATCCCTACCATGGGAAAAATAAAAGGGGTTAGGGTCTGGAGAGATGGCTTAGTGGTTAAGAGACTGCATTTTTCCAGAGGACCTGAGTTTGGTTCCCAGAACCTACATCTGGAGACTCACAACTACCTATAACACCAGCTCTAGAGGATCATTCAACGCCTCTGGCCTCCACAAGCATCTGCATTCATGTGCACATACTCACACATAGACACACACATATACATATAATTAAAACTAACAAAAATTGGGCTGGAGATAATGGTTCACTGGTTAAGAGCACTGGCTCCTCTTGCAGAGGGCCTGGTTTTAGTTCCCATCACCCACATGGAGGCTAACAACCACCCCTAACTCCAGTTCTAAGGGATCTGATGCCCTCTTCTGCTTTCTGTGGACATTGCATGTACATGGTACACTTACAGGCAAAAAACATACACATAACACTTTTGAAATATTTAAAAAGTTTGGGCTAGAGAGATGGCTCAGTGGTTAAGAGTGCTGGCTGCTCTTGCAGAGGACCTGGGTTCGATTCCCAGCACCCACATGGCAGCTACGAACCGTCCTTAGACTCCAGTTCCTGGGGAATCCGAAGCCCTCTTCTGACCTCCGCAGTGTTAAAATAAAATTTAAATTTAAAAAATTTTTTAAAGTTTAAAAAATTTTAAAGTTATAAAAAATAAAGATAAATCTTTTGAAAAATGAAGTCTTGTCTGTGAAGCACTTACCAACATCTGTTATTCATGAAGTAATTGAAGTAATCAATAAGTATTCTTTATTCCAATGGGAAATGTTTATTCCAAAGCCAAAACAGCAGAACTATTTTAAGAGATTTAAATTTCCCTTAGGAATGTAGCCACTTGTGATTAACAGGGTAGTCTGTGAGTGATGTGACCTGACAGGCTTCCAGGAAATAGTCTAAATTGTGACCCAGTGGATCCAAAACCTCATGAATTAACAGGAATGTCAGGCTGTTTTACTAGCAATTCAAGAATTGTGATGATTTGGTCCCTTGTATTCTGGCAGGTGACAGCTGTTTATATTAAAGATATGTACTGCTGGGCATGAATGCATACCAGTAATCCCAGCATTCCACTGGTTAACACAGGAAGATTTCGCATTTGAGGCTAGCCAGGTCTATACAAGAGATCATCTCAACCCCCATTGTGAGGAAGGGCAAATATACTACAATTGCACAAAAGTAAATTGCAAAAGGAGAAACTATTTGCAAATTATATATCTGATGAGAATTTGATTCCAAAATATTTGAAGAATTCTTATAACTCGGCAATAACAACAACAAATAATCCACTTTAAAAATGGCCCCAAGCTGGGTATGGTGAGTCACATAAGTAATCCCAGGCCCCAGGAAGCTAAGGCAAGGGGACCACTGCAAATTCAAGGCAAGCCTAGCCAGCCTGGACTTACAGAGTGAGACCCCATCTCAGAGGCACCAAAACAACCAAATCAAAAGGGCTCAAGAGACAGAGGCAGGAGTTTTACTCCAAGTTTAAAGCCAGCTTGGTCTACACAGGGAGTTGTAGGCCAGCCAAGGCTACATATAAAGACCCTGTCTTGAAACATCAGAAAAAGAAACCTCAGCCCGGGTCCTCTACAAGAGCAGCCACTGCTCTTAACAGGCTGAGCCATCTCTGCAGCCCCTTCTTTGGCTCTTTAGAGGCTACAATTATTGAAACACGAAGAATTTCTAGCCATGCTATGTATGGTTTGAGTGTCACACCCCCTCTCCTCAAAAGCTGACTGGCAACTTTATCCCACTGTGGGACACTAACAGAATGGAAATGCATCTAGCCATGTTTAGAAAAATGGCTTGGGTTAGGGTCATTAGGGGGAACCTGTGATTGAACCCTGGCAGCTCTGTGAGAAATCAAAATATACCTGTTCTGTGCCTCTTGTCATATGATGGCCTGAGTTGCCCTAAGACTCTGCTAGCAAGAAGCCATAACCTGGCAGGCACCATGGACCTCCAGAACCATGAGCCAAAAGAATTCCTTTATATAGTTACCCAGTTTCAGTTTTTTTGTTACAGCAACAAAAACAAAACAAAAAGTTACATTAGCCTTTGGGGGGTTACACTGCCATATGAGCACATAATGACAAGTAAATAATCTTTAGAAAATAAATTTATTGTTTATGCCTATGTTTAAAAAAAAAACCAGAAGTTTTGAATAGTCATTTCTTTAAAGCGAATATATAAACAGTAAACACATGAAGAGATACCCAACATCATTAATCATCAGAGAAGAAAAGATCAAAATCATGACACACCGCTTCACATTCACGAGGACAGCAAAAAGACAAAAGACAGAAAAGCTGGACATGGAGGCATGTGCCTGCATACAATCTTGACACTTGGGATGAGGAGGCAAGAGGATGAGGATCAGGAATTCAAGGCCATCTTCAGCTAGAGTTGTGAGTTGGGTGACAGCCTGTGCTCCATGAGATCCTGTCTCAAAAACAAAAAATAGCAAAAAAAAAAAGTAAATGGTGTTGAGGGTGTGGAGAAACTGGATCCCTCATACACTGCTGGTGGGAATGTAAAGTGTGGCGCAGCCACTTTGGAAAACATTTTGATACTTCCTAGAAAAGTTAAACATAGAATTGTATCACCTAGCAATTCTACCTTTAGGCATGTACCCAGGAGAAATGAAAACATAAAACTTAAACATCAGTGTTCACAGCAGCATTGTTCTATTCACAGTAGCCAAAGAGTGGGGATAATACAATGTCTATCAATGGATGGATGAACTAAATGTCCCTTCATACAATGGAACATTATTTGGGAATAAAAGAAAGTCCTTATGTGAGATACAATGTGGATAGACCTAAAAATATTGTGGTCAGGGGCTCAAGGCAAGAGGGATTGGAATGACTGCAAATGTTTGAGGGCATTTTCTCTATGATGCTGACATTTAGACTGTAATGGTAGTTGCACAACTCTGAATACACTATACTGTAACTACTGAACTGTACACTTTAAATGCACAAAATTTCTGGTTTGTGCAATATTTTAATTAAAAATGCAGTAAAAGAAAGTGACATTTTAGTTTTAAGAACAATCAAAAGGAATTTCAGCAGTCTATTGTGCTGTCAGTAGTCACTGCTAATTTTGTTGAGAGTGATAGTTGCATTATGGGATGAGTTTACAAATCCTCATCTGTAGTAGATGGAGAAAGTGCTCTTCAGATGTACAGACCCTCTCATCTGTCAATGCTTCCTTTCTCCTTGGATCTCCTTGGGGACAACTCAAGGACCACACATTCCAAGCAGAAGTTACCCCTGGCCCCAACCTGACATCATTAAGTGCTAGGCAACACCCAGAAACATGGCATAACCTATAGGATGCCTATGGGCAAGAGCTACATGTGGAAGGAGAAAGGTCATTTTCTTACTTTGGGGCCTGTGAAGGTAATCTGGTTGCAAGGGAAGCAGGGCATCCTCTTATGTTGAGGCTCTGGTAAAGCCTCATCTGGGAGATGAGGGAACTCTCTGAATTCGGTATTCAAGGGCCTCCTCCTACGCCATCACTCTTACTACCATCTGTTGTCTAGAGATGAGCCTTATGCAAAGGAAAACCTGCCTGGGGGCAGGAAGGCAAGGCAGCATCACAGTCTTGACACTTTTGGGAAAATAATCATGTTGAGTGTTTGTCACAGTAATTCAAGGACAGAGGTGAATAGGCACCCACAGACACTAAGCAATTACTTAACCTGAAGGAAGAAACACATTCACTAAGTCTATGAAATATCCCAAGTAGCAAAACTCTAGAAAGTGTTCCTATGCCAACTCTTATAAATATTCTCTCTGGAGATCCTCTTTGACTAGATTGACTAAAGATACACAGGTGTGGTAAGTAGGCCAAATGATGGTTCGCCACATTCATTCACATCCTAATCCTCCGAATCAGCAAATGTTACTTTAAGTAGCAAAATGGACCTTTTGTGGATGGTAAACATTTTGAGATGGGGAGATTATCCTGCTGGGCACAGTATAACCATCCTTCTAAGAAGGCCAGTGGGAGACAAGGTGGTATCATGACAGAGTATGAAAGAATGTACTTTGAAGATGAAGGGGTCACAAGTTTTTGTTGTCGTTGTTGTTTTTTGTCTTTTTGAGACAGGGTCTCCCTGTAGCCCCAGGTGGCCTGGAACTTGCCATATAGACCCGGCTGGCCTCAAACTCAGAGATCCGCCTGCCTCTGCCTCCCAAGTGCTAGGACTAAAGGCATGCACCACCATGCCTGGCTAGGGGTCACAAGTCTTAAGAATGCAGGTGGCTACTAGTTGCTAAAAAAAAAAAAAAGTCAAGGAAACTGATTCACCCCTCAGAGCCTCCAGAAGGACCAGCCCTGTCCACAGGGTGATTTTGATTGAGTGAAACTGATTTCAGACTTTTAACTTCCAGATGCATAAGAAGCTTGTGTGAAGCCATCAAGTTTGTAGTCATTTGTACAACACCAGTAGAAAACAAATATAGACCTAAGACTCAGAAGTTCCTAAAAGACAACAGCAAAATGGGCCTAGAGGAAAGGGTAGGAAGAGAAGGGAGCAGAATGAGAACTATGAAGGCCCTGGCCAGTGATGGGATGTGGACTGGAGAGAGGTAAGGGGCAGGCTGAATATAAAAGTAGTGACATGATACTGATGCCTTCAGGAAAATGCCAGGAACTCCTATTTGTGCACAAGGTAGTCTATCAATCTGCCAAAAGAGGATGGGAAACTGGGAAAGTGGATGGCTTTCCCAGGGTAACCTAGAATTACATACTATTTGGGTTTTAATGTCTACTTTGAGAAAACAAGAGTGGGATTAAATGGTTTTCCAGACACAGTTCTGGAACTCTAACATTTTATACATTCTTCTGTTATTTAAAAAATGCTATCAAAGCACAATTTACCTATCATAGCATTAACCCATTTCAGTGATTTTTGTAGAGTCACTGAGTTGTACAATTATCACTATATCCAGTTGTGAACACTGTGATCACTCCAGTCATATTCTTAAAGCTAATGGCCTATTTGGGAAAGGAGAACAGGCAGAATTCCCTTGTCAACCTCCAGAGCAATGTTTGCTTTTCCCTGTAGCTTTTCCTTGTATCTTAGGCTGGGGTTGCTATACCTTTTGTAAATCAAAAGTGCACTGATATTAAAAAGGTCCCTCAGCCGGGCATGGTGGCACACGCCTTTAATCCCAGCACTCGGGAGGCAGAGGCAGGCGGATCTCTGTGAGTTCAAGGCCAGCCTGGTCTACATAGTAAGTTCCAGGACAGCTGGGGCTACAGGGAGACCCTGTCTCAAAAAGACCAAAAAAAAAAAGGTTCCTTAAATGCAACTTTTTTTTAAAATAAAAGTACCATCTACTTATTAGAAACTCTCTCATCACACAAATATGTATATACTCTCAATTTGTCCTTTGTTAAGAAGTTAGGAGTTACAGAAATACTAGAGGATTCCCCTGTGGATGTTGCCGTGGAATGCTGATGAACTTCTCAAGTATACACAAGAAAACACTGCCTAAAATGATAGCAAATGCAGTAACTATGGAATTTACTCTTTAACATCATATTTTAGAGGCTAAAGCAACAAGATTTTAACAAGGGGCCACCTGCAGCTCATTCTAATTCATCCTCATTAGTTACTCCCCACTCTGCAGAGACTGCAGTTCTTTGCCCCAACACCCAGATCTGCCATCTCTTTACCCTGTCACCATGTGCAGACAGGTCCCATCAGCCTCTTTTCCGGCTCCTTGTCAGTTGAGTATTCATCCATCACTCCCCAAGGGCCATTTGCTTGGTTTTGCAAGTCATGAAGATACTTTGTTATTTACATGCAAATAAAGGAAAGGAGAGACAAGAAGCCCTTCCCTGGGACTCTAAAGCACACAGCACTCCTTCAGTCCCCATGGTGGAGCCTGTGGTGCTGGTGGAGATTTGAGCTCTGGCGAAAGCTTTTCCCACACTGGCTGCACTGGTACGGTTTCTCCCCAGTGTGGATTCTCTGGTGCAGTTTCAGGGTTGACTGCCTCCCAAAGCAGTTTCCACATTCTCCGCAGGTGTAGGGTCTCTCTCCTGTATGTACTCTCTTATGTCGTTTCAGCTCTGAATTCCATGTGAAGCTTTTCCCACAGTCATCACATTTATAAGGTTTCTTCACTGAATGGGCTGCCTGGTGACTAAGACGTTGCAAACGGCTGCTCAGACTTCTTTTGCCTCCTTTGCTTTTTTTCAACTCTCTCAGTGGTTGGCTTTTGAGGGGACTGCTGATATATTCCAGTTCTCTGCAATGTCTCTGGTAGTTAGCAAATGGCTTCTGAGCATTTGGGGGACTGACCTGCCTCCGTGACAACCGGGATTCACTCATGTTTCTCCCTCTCGGCTCAGGGCTCTGCAGACCATTTCCTTTGGATCTTCCAGGTGACACTGCACATGGCTTTGCTCCTTTGGCCCCTTCCTGTTGTGGATTTTCCTTGTTATCACTTCTCATTCTGGAGGCCTCTATAATTAGAAAGAATATTTTTAATTTTATATACTTGGAAGAAAGAACTTCACCAAAAAGTATAAAATATGTTATGTGGTTTGTCAAAGGGTAGCCTTCTCCTGGAAACTTGCATTAGATTCCTCTGCAGTACCTGTTAACAAAGGAGGTCCTCATCCCTGAGACTGATGAGTCAGAATCTCTGAGGGGTAGGCCTGGAAATCTGCACAGTTAGCTAGTTACTGAGAGTGTTTCTGATTTATGTAAGTTAGGGACCAATTTCTCCAATCCCTTCTTTTCTTCCTATGTTTAGGAAGAGGTATAGGAAAACAAGAACAGGAAAAAAATCAGAACTAAGTATTAATGAATAAAAGAAGGAAGACAGTGACGTTTTGTTTATTTGTTTTGAGACAGGGTCTAATTATATTGCCTAGGTTGGCTCCAAACTCTTGGACTTAAATGATCCTCCATGTGGCTGGGACAACAGACATGCACCACTACACCTGGCTGAGGGTTAACATTTTAATAATTAAAATAACTATTTGATTTTGTTTTTTGTTTTTGACAGGGTCTCCCTAGTCCCAGCCCACCTGGAAGTCACTACATGGACCAGGCTGGCATCAATCTTGCAGAGATCCACCAGCTTCTGCCTCCTGAGGGCTAGGATTAAAGGCACACACCACCATGCCTGGCTAAAATAACTATTTGAATAAATATCTCTCACTTACTTGGACACAGATTGACAAACCCCTTCACTTCAAAGGATGAAGTGGTTTTTCCCATTACAATGTTGATAGCATTAAGTGTTTAGCATAGGCTAGATATGTATCCTAATTAAAGAAACTGCCCACCTTCTGACTGGCAGGACTTAGGATCAAGATGGTATGAGCTAGAATGGACTAAAGAAGCTTGGGGACCAGGAGCAGGACTATCCAACAGGACCTCCTGTAAAGTGGAAAATTTGTTTTCATGAACTGTATGCACCATTCAACATGGCATCCATCAGGCAGACATGACCACATGACTATTGAGTATTTGAAATAGAGCTAGTGTGCCTGAGGAATTCAACTTTGAATTTTAATTAAATTCAAATTTCATGAGCAGCCCAAACAGTTAATGCCAAGTGATTTCCATCAAGGTTTTGTTTTATTCATTTTTTGAGACGGTCTCACAGAGCCAAAGCTAGCCTCAAACTCCCTATGTTGCTGATGATGATCTTAAGCTCATGATCATCTTGCCTCTATTTCCTAAGTGCTGAGATTACAAGTATGCACCACTGTGCCTGGCTTCATCAAGGTTCTTGAGAAAATTTAATGGGGGAAAGAATCATCTTTCAATAAATGACACTGGTACCACTGGATTTCCACAAGCTTCAAAGAATAAAGTTAGACTCCTCTGTGGTCTAAATGTTCACCCTAAATTCACATTGATAGTCCCTCATGTAGTAACACTGGGAGGTGAAGCATCTGGGAGGTAATGGGGTCATGATGCTGGAGTTCTCATGAATGGAACTAGTGCCCTTTAAAAAAAAAATGCTGGAGAGCTGGTCGTGGTGGGGCAGGCCTTTAATCCCAGCACTCGGGAGGCAGAGGCAGGTGGATCTCTGAGAGTTTGAGGCCAGTCTAGTCTTTAAAAAAAAAAAAAAAAAAAAAAAAAAAAAAAAAAACCAAAAAAATGCTGGAGAAAACTTGTTTACTATTTTTTTCACCACATGGAGACACATGGCAGTTGCTATCTCTGATGAATGAGCCTTCCTCAGATACTGTATTTATTGGTACTTTGACCTTGAATTTTTTCTTTGTGCGTATGAGATTGAGTGTAATTGAGGTATATGCGTGTGCCTCTGTGTGTGTGTGTGTGTGTGTGTGTGTGTGTGTGTGTGTACATATGCATGCCTGTGTAAAGAGCTAACAGAGGTCAGAGGTGGATACTGGGTTCTTTATTCTGTTACTTTCAGCCTTACTTTTGAGACAGTCTCTCACCGAACTTGGGGCAAGATCCTCCTGTCACACCCCAATATTGAGGTTACAGGAGCACATACAACCAGACCTAGCTTTTAACAATAGGTTCTGGAGATTTGAATTCTGGTATCATACCTGTGCAGCAAGCACTCTTCCCCACTAAGCCATCTCCTTCTGCTAACCTTGGACATCTTAGCTTCCGAAACTGTTAGCAATACGTTTGTTATTTATTAATTACCCAATCTAAGGGATTCTGTTATAGTAACCTTAAAGACTAAGACAAACCCTTGCCTCACACCGCATACAAAAACTAACCGAAGGGACTTGGAGAGGTGGTTCAGTGGTTAAGAGCACTGGCTGCTCTTGCAGAGGACCTGAGTTTGGTTCCCAGCACCCACATGGCAGATAACAACTGTCCATAACTTCAGTTCTGGAGGATCCAGTGCCCTCTACAGACCTGCCCTCTTCTGACCTCCACAGGCATTGCACGCATGGGTACACTTATATACATGTAAGCAAAAGACCTAAAAACAAATACAATTTTAAAATTAAAAAAAAAAACTAACTCAAAATGGTCCAAAAATCTAAATATAAGAACTAAATTTAACTCTTCCTTGAGAAAAGCACCACTGTAAATCTGAATCCTTTCATCAGGAAATGGAATTTTAGATATGACATCAAAAGCCCAAGCAAATAGAAAAAAAATGGATAAATTAGACTCTACCAAAATGAAAAACATTTGGGCCAGCAAAATTGCTCAGAGGGTAAAGGTGCCTGCTGCCAAACCTGATTACCTGAGTTTGAACCCCAAGATCCACATGGTGGAAAGAGAGAGCTGACTCCATTAAGTCTACATGCACACCATGGCATGTGTGTACCTACACACATTCAGAAATACACAAAACACATAAAAATGTATGTTTTTAAAAAAACTAAGCCAGGCGTGGTGGCGCACACCTGTAGTCCCAGCACTTGGGAGGCAGAGGCAGGCGGATCTCTGTGAGCTCAAGGCCAGCCTGGTCTACATAGTGAGTTCCAGGACAGCTTGGGCTACAGGGAGACCTTGTTTCAAAAAGAACAAACAAACAAAAAAACAAAAAACTGAAAGGACAATCCACAGAATGGGAGAAAACATTTGCAAATTATAGACAAAGTCTAGGATCCAGAATACATAAATACTCTTAAACCTCAATAAAAAGACAAATGGTCCAAATTGAAAATGGGCAAAGGGGGGCTGAAGAGATGGCTCAGCAGTTAAGAGCACTGGATGGTTCAATTCCTAGCACTCACATGGTGGCTAACAACAATCCATAACTCCAGTTCCAGGGGACTCTGACGCCCCCTTCTGACTTCCTCAGGCATTGCACAACACAGGTGGACTTACAAACATGTAGGCAACACACTTATGCACATAAAATTAAAGTATTGCTGGGTGTGGTGGCGCACGCCTTTAATCCCAGCACTCAGGAGGCAGAGGCAGGTGGATCTCTGTGAGTTCAAGGCCAGCCTGGTCTACACAGTGAGTTCCAGGACAGCTGGGGCTACAGGGAGACCCTGTCTCAAAAAGACCAAAAAAAAAAAAAATTCAAGTATTTTTTTTAATGGGAAAAGGACCTATGTATTTTTCTATAAAAGCTAGGAGTGATGACAAGGTCTATTACCCCAGAACTTGAGAGATGAAGGCAGGAGGATCAGGAGTTCAAGATCAGCCTCAGCTACATAGTCAGTCTGAGGCCAGCCTGGGCTACATGTGACCATATTTCAAACAAACAAAACACAATTACAAGATATACAATTTATCTTTTAAACATTTTTTATTATGTCTATTTTGTCAGGGGAGGTGGGTGCTCATGTGCCACAGCGCATATGGAAGTCAGAGGACAACTTGCAAGAGTTGATTCTCTCCTACCATGTGGGTCCCAAGGATCAAATTCAGGTTATCAGGTTTGGCAGCAAGTGCCTTTATCAAACTGAGCCATCTTGCTGAAGAAGATACACAATTTCATAAACGTATCAAATGATGCTAAACTAATTTAGGGAAATAAAAATCAATGCCTCAAGAAGATACCACTTCACACTTGATACAATGGCCATCATAATAACTGACAGTAAGTTCTGGGAGAGACGTGGACAAGCACCCTCACATTTTGTTGATAGGAGTATAGTATGTTACTGCCACTTTGCAAACTAATCCAGTGGTTCATCAAAAAAGTTAAGCACAGACTAAGTGCAGTGGTGGTACATGGCTTTAATCTCAGCACTCATGAGGCAGAGGCTAATGGATCTCTGTGAATACAAAGCCAGCCTGGTCTACTTAGTGAGTTTCAGGCTAGCCAGGGTTCCATAGTAAGGGTTCCTTGTCTCAAAAACAAAAGTAAACACAGAGTTAACCTATGATCTAGAAAGTCTATTCATACACAAATACATAATAGAAATAAGCCAGGTATGGCTATGCATGCCCATAATTTCAGCATTTGGAAAACTGAGGCAGGAGGGTCACAGGCTTATGTTAGAGACAGACCCTCTCTCAAACAAAGAGCCAGCAATGTGGCTCAGTGAATAAAAGCACTTGCCTACATGTGGCTAGCAGCTAGTGTATCATTACATAGTCAAGCTTGGGAGGAAGTCACAGGTGGAACTTCTGTGTGAGGAGCACTATTCTACCACTCTCCTGGGAATCAAATGAAAGGAGACAGGCATCCTATATACACTCAACTCTGCTGAGGTAGAATTGTGTAGGCCACTATCTTTGGGACCATAAAAGCTATACGTAATGAAGCAGGATCTCACGCAGGGTTACAGCTTTTTTTATTGGATACATTACTGAGTTCAGAGAGTAATCAAAGTATAATGGACTGAATGTTTATGCTCCCCAAAACTCATATAATGAAATCCTAACTTCCAAGATGATGGTATTCAGAGGTGAAGTATTACAGGGGTTGGGAGATGGGGAGGGGTATCTCGGTGACAGTGTGCTTGCCTAACACGTTTAATCTTTAGCCCTGGGGAAAAAAAAAATCAGAAGCTTGCTGCTTCTGCCATGTGAGGACACAGAAGAACCAGAAAGGACCCTCACCAGAACCCAGCCATGCAGGTGCCTTGATCTTGGCCTTCCCAGGTTCCATAACTGTGAGAAATTTATATGCTACCCACTTCTAATATTTTTTTATAGGAGCCTAAAAGGACTGTGATACAAAGTATTTCACTGCATATAGAAAAATTTAAAGAGACAAGGCTTTCATCTTAATGCCACTCCTCCAATCCCTGATCTTAATGCTGGATGCTGCCTGCATCCTGGTTTCCTATCAACAAGAATGGCCAAGGGTCACTGTCAGCAGGTCTTAGCAATCACAGGACTGTGTAGAACAGAGCCAGCAATGACAAAGAAACAGACCTAAGGGTTCGAAGCATAGTCAATGTCACAGAAGAGGAGAAACTTGAGTAATATAGAGTGGGGCTTCTTCTTTATTAGGCAGAACATTCTTTAGGCCATTCTAAATATGAGACTGTTTTAAATAACGAAACTCAGCCAGACCTTGCATGACGTTCAAGAACATTTATATCTGGATCTGTCTTTACTTACAAGAAAGTCTGAACAGGACAGAAAACTCAGAGGTAGAATAGTTCTGCCATGCACTGGACCATCAACTATTCATTAAAATAAAATATAATAAAAATGTACTCCATATTTATAGTACAACTACCATTGTTGTAGTTAATTTTATTTTTAGGAAATAAAGGAAATGAACATCACTAAGCATGGTGGTACATGACTTTAATTCCAGCACTCAGGACTGATAGATAGAGTATCAGGCAGATAGATCTTTGTAAGTTTGAGGCCAGCCTGGTCTACTTTTCAAGTTCCAGGCCAGCCAGGGCTGCATAGTGAACTATCTCAAAGCAAAAACAAAAACAAAAGCCATCAATTATTATATACAACATTAAGAAGGTAGGTGCACAAGACCCATGCAACCTTAACTCACACAAAATCCAAGCACAGAAGTGGGGAAGTGGGGAAGAAGCTCCAACCTTTGCAGAGGAACTGTTGACAATCAATAACTACTGGGAGAGGGAGACTTGGTTTTCTTTAGGGCCATGACACTAGATAGGTTAACCAGGCTTCAGTGAATAGACACACACTGAAGGACATTTGGGGACATAAATTTGGCTCGATAAGCCTTAACATGTATGACAGAATACATGAGTATATGTCATATAGACAAATAGGAAATTGATTCAATTTAAAAACTTGTCAGCTGATATACCTTTTAACTTATTTACTTTAATACGTAATTTGGGGCTTAAAAAAAGTGGCTGTGAGCCAACTAATGGCTCACTTCAAGTAAAGGCACCTGTTGCCCAAACCCAGTGACTTGAGTTAGATCTCCAAAACCCACATAAAAGTAGAGAGAGAGAACTGACTCCACAAAGTTGTCCTCTGACCTCCACATGTGCATCGTGGCACTCATACCCTCACCCACACATTATTCATACATACAGACAAATAAGAAAAAAAAATTTTAATTTAAGGTAAGTGTATGTAACACACCTGGTCTATGAATTTGTAGAACCATGAGATGCTTTGATGGAAATAAAAAGCTGATGAGAGGGTGCGAGGAGACAGAGTGTTTACCTGTCCCAGTCAATTTGAGGGCTGGTTCCTGGAGGAGTGAGGATTTCTCCCAATGATGGGTGTTCAGCCGGTCATGAGATTCTTCCTGGGAAGGCTCCTCCTGAGAGTTCTCCTGGAGCTCTCTCCTAGGAGTTTGAGGTTGAAAGTCTGGCAGTTCCTGTTCTTCAAGCTGAGCTCCTGTTTTCTCCAAGAGCACCTTCTGCCCTTGCATACAAACAGCCACCTAGGAAGAAGGGCCATTCATTACTCTCCATTCATTGGACAGACTGAGAGCAACATTCTACTCACTGCTATATAATGACTCCTTTATCTTGGGAAGCCCAGGTAGTGGCCTAGAGGTCAATTTTTATAGAGATCGGTGGAGACCCTCAAAGGAGGCAAAGAGAAGGGCACACAGAATGAAAGAAATTAGACTGTTTCATATTAGCCAGTACTTCCCAAGTAGCTGTCCCAAGCTAGGTCCAGTCACAAGGCCTAGAGTCAAGGTCACCAGAGAAGAGGTGGCAAAAACATCACAATCAGTAATAACAATAGTCCATTGGATTCCCACCCTACATACCTCTCTATTTCTGCTAGAAATAGACCTTATAGGAATAGAAGGGGCCATTGAAAACCATTCTAACTTTCTAAGTTCTGCCCCCAAAGTGCAGCAGTTGGCCAGGAATGGTGTCGCTCACCTTTAATCCCAGCACATGGGAGGCAGAGGCAGGTGGATCTCTGTAAGACTGAGGCCAGCCTGGTCTACATAGTGAGTTCCAGGCCAGCTGGGACTACAGGAGGACCATGTCTCAAAAAAAAAAAAAAAAAAAAACAACCCAAAATAAACAAAAAAAAGTGCATCAGGGGCTGGAGAGATGGCTCAGTGGTTAAGAACACTGACTGTTCTTGCAGAAGACCCAGGTTTGATTCCCAACACCCACATGGCAGCTAACAACAGTCCGTAACTCCAGTTCCAGGGGATCCAATAGTCTCTTCTGTGCTCCGTGGGTATTGCACGACATGGGTGCACTTACCTATGCAGGCAATACACATATACACATAAAATAAAAATAATAAATAAAATATTTTTTAAAAAAGTGCATCAGTACTTAGATTTAAGACTACCCTGCCTAGGCCCTCACCCATTCCATTTTCTAAAGCACAGCTTGCTTGCTTCCTTGAGGCCCTAGCTAGGGTTTGACTTGAGGGATGGAGTGGGGGGGGAGTAATAGTGGGAAATGAGCTGAACTGTCTGATTCAAAGGCTATTAATATGGCAAGCACTTCACTGGAACAAAGTCCTGGGAAGTTCACTCATTGTCAATTTCCCATCCAACAGGTTGGTCTTGACTGCTAAAAATTCTGATTGCAGCAAAATTTCATGAGGAATGTGGGGGTAGGGGGACTCTGACAGTAGAAATTCCAGAATTTTCAGACTACTGAGGTTATGAGGCCCATGAAGAAATAAGAACCTTGGTCTAATACTTCCTCACCGGATGCCTGTGGCTGGGTTTCTGAAATTGTCTTCAGGGTAAAGGGGTTACCAGAAGCTGAAAAAATTTTTTGAAGCCATCTAGTCCTCTGGAGTCTCTAACCAGCCAGGGATCCTGACACAAAATACTGCCTCCATGAGAAAGAAATCCTGGGGCTCACAGAGAGGACCCTCCTTACCCACTGCTTTGGTTTTTTGGATGCTCTGTGTAAGTCTTCCACCAGGGTCACAATCTCCTTGCTGCTCATTGGATTTTGATGCCTGACCCGAGCCTGGATCTCTGGAGGCAGGATGATCAGGAACTGTTCCATCACCAGGAGCTCCAAAATCTGTTCCTTGGTATGTAGCTCAGGCTGCAGCCACTGCCGGCAGAGTTGTCGAAGGCGAGAGAGAGCTTCTTGGGGTCCGCACACTTCTTGGTAACAAAAGCCTCTGAAATTCTGGCGGGAGAGCTCAGGATCAGGGCAGTCTTTTAGTTGAGGGGGCCCCCGTTTCTCTTCCAGCTTCGTTATTATGTGTCTCTCTTGCTTGTTGGAATCCTCAGCATGGGTACTCAAAGTTATCTCCATTTTAGCTGCCATTTTGGGGCTCAGGAAACAACGTCACTCTCCCGGTAAACTGATCAAGTGTTCCGGATCATTGCCCTGGAGAACTCTGAATGCTATGAGAATGGTCAGAACGAAGTGTTAGGGAGGAATGCTGCAAAGACACGGCTTTCTCATTTGCAAGCCTTTACCCCCGACTCTGAAGTCCCTGACAGTGAGAAGAGTTGGTCTTCTGTCAGTTTTTAAAAACTGTCTCCCAAAGGAGAAAGGTCATAACATCCCTAAAGGGTACTGGAGGGAGTATTTCTTTTATTTTGGTTATTAAGCACACATCTTGGGCAAGATGATATAAAGGACTGGCAGATGAAGCCCCAGCAAAAGTTCAAGCTGTCTTACAGGTAGCTCGCACAAACTCTCCAGCATCCTGCAGGCACCAACCTCCAGTATCTTGGGGAGCCCCAGCGTAGAGCCAAGTTAATTCCACAGCGCAGCCAGGGGTTGAGAGCGAGCTCGGAGCTCGCTGCGCGCCACAGGCCCAGGAGCTACGGCTCTGCGGCCCAGCCAGCCGGGTCTGACGAGGCCGCGACAAGGGGGCGCGTAGCTCCACGGCAACGCCGGGTGTCAGCTTCAGATGCCGCCCTCTACACCACGGTCGGAGGAAGCGTAAATCCTAGCGCCCACCTGCGGCGAACCCACCTCTCCGGGGACTAGAGACCCGGAACCCCAGAGCACGGGCCGGGGGCGGAGCCGGAGCCTGGTTGAGGCGACGCCCACTGGCTGCGAGAGCCCACCCACGGGAAGGCCCGCCTTCTCATCACAGGATTGGCTGCTCTGGAACATTGTCCATCGTCGATTGGCTGTTATGTCTATCAATGCAGTCGCAGTGCATCCCGGGACTCGTAGTTCGGTGGCTAGAGGCCCATGAGCTTGAGCCACTAGCTGTGTAGCGCCTGGGATTATCGCTCGGTTGATGAGCGGCTGGGTGATGGAGGGAATTTGGGGAGTTGGGAGTGCCGGGCTCGAATGAGTCTTCCGCTCGTTCGCGATGTGGAGGGCTCGCGGCTCGGCCTCGAATCGGACCTGTGGCCCTCGCAGCTAGGAGGTGTCTCCGAAGTGCGGGGCGCTGGAACCAGAGCGTTCAATCAATGCGCGAAGACCCTTAACTCTACAGCTGGACCTTGACTTTCTCTGACAGCTCGCTTGCTGGTTTACCCCACTTGATGCTAGTCGCCAGTATCTAACCCTCGCACGGACTCACCAGATGCTTGCTAAATAGAAAAATAGTCCGCTTTCCTTCCTCACCCGCAATCTCTTTGAGTGAGCAATCGGCAGACAGAGGAAAGCAAATTCCCGGGAGAGCTGCAAGCTAAAACTTAGGAATGGGGCTGTGTCCTCCCTCAGCCAGGGACTGTCTTGTCTTCAGAGTTTGGGGTAAAGGCTAGCAAAGTGATAACAGACTTGTCTAGGATGTGCAAAGCCTTGGATTCAATCCCCATCTTTTCAGGCAATGGACCAATACATTAAATTTAGCGATGGATGGGACATAAGGGGTCAAGAGGAGTTATGAAACCAGGATAGCATCTACTACACTTTCTTCAGCCCCACAAGTCAACATGTTAGCCTTACCTTTTGCAAGTCTTCCTATGCGTGAAGACAATAAATCTTCTTTCCATCTACTAATAGCTTAACTTTTCCAGAATACAGTTTCCTATGATTTTTTTAAACTTTCTTCACAGCTATTTTTTACTTGTCTTCATAGAAAACTGTTGTTCTTTTGAAGCAAGGTCTCACTGCAATTCAGGCTGGATTCATAATCCTGTCTCAGCCTCAGGGCTGGGATAATAAGAATGTACCAGCATGCTCTAGGAAACTTTTTTTTTTTTTTTTTGGTTTTTTTGAGACAGGGTCTCCCTGTAGCCCCAGCTGTCCTGGAACTCACTATGTAGACCAGGGTGGCCTTGAACTCACAGAGATCCGCCTGCCTCTGCCTCCTGTGTGCTGGGATTAAAGGCCTGCACCACTACGCCCAGCTCTATGAAACTTTTTAAACTAAAAAAGGTTTTCTTGGGGCTGGGGAGATAGCTCAATTGGTTATACTGCTTGTCATACAAGCATGAGAACCTGAGCTCAAATGATTCCCCAGAGCGCAAATGAAAAAGCTAAGAGGAGTGGTAAACTCTTGTAATCCCAGTGATGGGCAGGCAGGTAGATCCTTGGAACTCCCTCAACACCCAGCCTAACCTAGGTGCTGAGTTCTAAGCCAATGAGACACTTTGTCTCAAAAAACAAAGGTGTACATCAAAAAACAAGGTGTACAGCTCCTGAGGAACAGATCCATGATTAACCTCCAGCCTCCACAAACACAGACACACATACAGATAAATACACAAAAAATTTTGATGTAAAAGTTCACATAAAATTAATCTCTGTCTGCTACAAACACTCCGATTACCCCAAAAAGGAAACCTCATACCTACTAAGCAGTTGGTTTCCATTCTAACTGTATGGATTTACCTGTCCTAGGCATACTATTGCACTGTATGGCTAGAACAAAGTTCTTTATTTTTTACATCTTTCTTCCATGAAGCAACTTGGCTGAATACATTTCTAGATAGCCTTAATCCATTGCTGCCTTTTCTGTGTAGTTGAAAATGGCCACTATAGGTTGCTAAATAATTTTTAAAACCAGATGTAGAATGAAACTAAATCCTTATCTCACACCTTGCACAAAAATCAACTCCAAATAGATCCCTTAATGTAAGACTCTAAACTCTGAAAATGCTAGGGGAAAAGTAGGAAAAACACTTTGAGATATAAGCAAGATAAGAACTCTCTGAAAACACTCCAGTCACTCAGAAAATATGACATTATTGACAAGTAGGACCTCATCAAATTAATAAGTGAAGCAGCAAACAGCTGTTTCGTCACCATCTCTTCCATTTGTCAACATGACAGCTTCAGCTGACCTAAGTACAGCACAGCTACTTGGGAACCTCCAATCCAGTTTCATATGGCCTGTGCAAGCTTCAGTTCAGGATCAGATACCCAGAGAAGACTTCATCACAGTCCAGAAATCACCCAGCTGTCACCACCACTGATTTTTTTAAAAAATATTTTATTAGTTTTAATATATTTATTTTGTGTGTATGTGTATTTTGCCTACATGTATATGTGTGCCCGTGTTGTGCAATGCTCTCAGAGGACAGAAGAGGCCATCAGATCTCCTGGAACTGGAGTTATGGACAGTTGTTAGCTGCCATATGGGTGCTGGGATTTGAACCTGGTTGTATCTGCAAGAACAGCCAGTGTTCTTAACCACTGAGCCATCTCTCCAGCCCCACCACCACTGATTTAACCACAGCCGGGAGACTCTGCTTTAGTTACGGCTGCTCCAGGTTCTCTGTGGCTCTGAAATGTGTTCCTTCCAGGTGAGGACTGCTGCTATGATGTTCCATGCAGCTAAAGATCGCCTACCTCACTGTCTGTGAAGAGAGTGGTGTTGGATTTGTGGTTGCTGCAGTACCTTTAGGGGATGCATGTATAATGTTCAGAATCATCCCAACTTGCCGCGTCTGGCAGTTGCTGGGTTCTCTTCCTGGCAAAAGCCACTGAAGCTGCATTGGAGGGGTCTGGTAGCTGTCAATAAAACTGAGTTTGAAAGACAGCTTCAATAATTTCATTTATTTACTGTGGGGACCTAAAGGCCCCACCTTGCAGAGGTCCAAGAGGAAGTTACTGGGGCATGGCTTGACTTGTTTTAAAAGTCTGAAGGATTCTTCCGCACTGCTGAGGAGTGCATGATCAGTGCGTGACCATCCTTAAGATACACCCTCAGGGGGGAGGGGGATTTCCAGATGCCTTTATAAGCTCTATAACACCTGCAATAAATGAGTCCCTGCTTGACTAGGCTCCCCGTTGCGTCTGATTGTCCCCCGTGCTGGGGGTGGCAAGGACTCGGCGCATTTACTCATCCCCAGTCATCACTGCACGGGGGTCGCTGATTCGACCCCCCCTGCAATTTACTGATTAATTGATTGATTACAGTATTGTGGATTGAACCTAGGGCCTCATGCATGCCAAGTAAGCATTCTACTACATCACTGATCTGTATCCCCAACTTCATTCATTTTATTTATTTTTATGTTACTTTATTTTTAATATTAATTTTTTATTCTTGAAAATTTCATACATGTATATAATGAAACATATCATCACCTCATTTTATTAATTTATTTTATGTGTATGCATGTATTGCCTTTATGTAAGTGCACCCATGTCATGAAACGCTGGCGGAGGTCAGAAGAGGGTGTCGGATTCCCCAAGAACTGGAGTTACAGATGGTTGTTAGCTGCCATGTGGGTGCTGGCAACTGAACCCGGGTTCTCTACAAGAGCAACCAGTGCTCTTAATCACTAAACCATCTCTCCAGTCCCTCCTCAATCATTTTTAAAGGAAAAAGACAGCTGGACATGTGGCGCACACCCGTAATCCCAGCACTTGGGAGGCTGAGTCAGGAAGACTGCAATGAGCTTAAGATCACCTTTACTTACAGCAGGAGACCCTATTTCAAAAAAAAAAGATCAAAACATATTCTTTGCAACAGAGATTGATTCCAACCATAGCCAGTTAGCTTTTTCTCTTCTTGTGTCTTTACACTCCCCTAACTCCTAGGTTGTTTCAAAGTCCCATACATTCCAGAAGGGAGTTCTGCAGAACTCCAGAATGTTTAAAGAATGTTTCTGTTTTCTTTTTATATTTCCCATAGCTATTTTACAACTTAAATGAATTGACCAGAGGATATGATTTCCTGTATTAATTAATTTTCTGTGCTGTGATAAACACCATAACCAAGGCAACTTATAGAAGGAAGAGTTTATTTGGCTTACAGTGCCAGAGGGGTAGGAGTCCATTGTGGCAGGAGGCATGGTGGCTGGAGCAGAAAACTGAGGGCTCACATCTTCAAGCAGGCATAGGAAGCAGAGAGAGACAAACTAGAAGTTGGGGCAAGGCTATGAACTCTCAAAGTCCACCCCCAGTGATGTGCTTCATCCTGTAAGACTGCACCTCCTAAACCTCCACAAACAGTGCCACCAATTGGGGCCAAGTATTCAAATACTTGGAGCTTATGGGGGACATTCTCATTCAGACCACCACACTGCCCAGTCTCCTTGGTGGTTACTATTCTTGGAAATGAATCCGTTTCTAGATTAGCTTCAGGAACTTGGTCATTGTAGACTTATCTCTCAGAACTTGATATAAGCTGAGTGTGATGATCAATAAAAAGTTTGAGGCTGCAAGACTCTAGACTTTGAGGAAATTGCCAAGATAATATTATTATTTGGCTCATCCTGGAGACATATTGAATATTGCTGTAGAAGGCTTTGATCCTGAAGAAGCACATTCAGGACAGGATAATATGACTAGATGTTTTTGGAAAGAATTATGAAAATATGGAAAGGAAAATTTATCCTTTTTTTTCAGTGCTGTCCAATGGACAAGATAATCCAAACCAGCAAATGTGAAAGTGCTGTGTGAAAAACTCAGTACTTAGCATGAAGGGGGGTTAATGAAGCTTATTAATAATATCAGTGGTCCACGCCTTTAATATTAGCACTCAGGAGGCAGAAGTAGGTGAATCTGTAGGTTCAAGGTCATCTTGGTCTACATAGGAAGTTCTAGGCCAGCCAGGGGTACATAGTGACACTCTGTCTTTAATAATAATAATAATGATGATAATAATAATAATAAATAAATGAAGGGGGGTTAATGAAGCTTATTAATAATATCAGTGGTCCACGCCTTTAATATTAGCACTCAGGAGGCAGAAGTAGGTGAATCTGTAGGTTCAAGGTCATCTTGGTCTACATAGGAAGTTCTAGGCCAGCCAGGGGTACATAGTGACACTCTGTCTTTAATAATAATAATAATGATGATAATAATAATAATAAATAATTTCAGGCTGGGCATGGTGGCGCACGCCTTTAATCCCAGCACTTGGGAGGCAGAGGCAGGCAAATCTTTGTGAGTTCA